CATGGGCAGAACCGAATAAACACTAAACCGAGGAAGAACAGAACCAAAATCACAATAATAGAAAACACAAAACGCTGGGTCAAAAGGACCCAGGATCATGACACTAACTTTTCAACACCTACAAATCTGCGAGCTGCAGAAGCACCTGTGTTTGTGACCTTTAATAAATCTGGTGCAATATTTCATATAAGTGCACTCTTCCTATTGGAGTTTAGACTGAGATAACGCAGCTCCTGTAGTCAACATCAAGCCAACATTCCTTTACAGGAAGCGTCGCACTCACAGCAGTTCGACTGCGTTCTTGTTTACAGGTGGAGGGGTATAATTACTGGGGAAACATCCACCATTCCCGAGCAAATACAGGGAGCATCAGTCATCTTGGATGCTGGCAGGTCTGCTTGTTCAGCTCTTTAGCTCCATAACCTAAGCAATACCTTATTTTTCCACCAGGGGCAGCAGAGCAGATCTTTCACTGAAGGTCTCTGTTCATCTGTCGAAATATAGATACTGAATAAAGCACTGAAAAGGTTAAGATTGCAAGGAGGGATCCAAAAATAGTGGCGGTGCTGTAATCAGTCCAAACATGCATGAGGTGATTACTCTGAAGGGGAGATTGGACACATTAAAATCGACAGATTTCAGTTTATTTCAGGCCAGTTTCTGAAACCACATTTGCTGCTGGCTTGTCCCACCATAACTCAAATCAGCTTTCAGTTCTTCTCCCTCGATTCTGATCATTTAGCTCCAAGCATGCCTTCTTTAGCTTTTTACACTTCATTGAAGGCTGCCGATGTGGGTTTCTTTTACTGCTGTGTTTTAGAAGAATGGAGCCAGGGGGAAGGTGGCATTTAAAACGTCTATCAATGCATCACAAATGGATGCAGTCAGACAAAGTTAATGATAACTGGGCTGTATGTCTGTTTTAGAGGGAACAGTACGGTAACAACCAGAAACTTCTCTCTATGTTTCATTTATTTATCTATTCTTTTCTAGACTTGGTGGTTCAGATCAGCATCAGCCCGGCCTGATAATCAAACCTGCCCAACACAGACACGGTTGCAGTAAATCACTCCACACCGAGCCTGAGTCAACAGTTTTTCCCCGATACATTCAGCCTCAACACTGTGTCATCCTCCCGGGGCTGATTGGCAGCCTCAGGATGACTGTGCTTGTGCAGAGCCCAAGACCTCTAGAGATCCGATTAGAGATAGAGTCCCTCTGGTAACTTAATGTTCTGATGGAGTTAGGCTGCCTGAAAATGAAATAAAATGTGTTGCTGCTCAGATTTGCCAGAAACTGCAAGAAAACTGGAAGATGTGGAAGTTACTGTCACGTAGCTGCACTACATTCATTATATTCATATAATTTTATCATATTAAGTTACAATTTGTAGTTGTTACATCATTAGTAATTAGCCAGTTTGGGTAATAGATGCTGCTCTATCAAAGGAAAGGTCATTCTTTTTCTGTATGCTAGGCGAGCCGTCCTTTTAGCACACTTTCAGGTTGGATGGTGACAGCAGCTGATGCTGTTGTTAGGCGGTGTTTGTAGGTTACTGTATGGAAAGTGCTGGCAGAGATCTCAATCGATGTAATTCAAATCAGTTTTACTGGTATATGCGACTGTTCTTGAATTTTAAGATAAAGATCCAAAAGTTAACAGCTCCTTATGAGCAAGAAAAACCCCCTTTTAACAGGAAGCAACCTGTTAAAACCAGGCTCAGGGAGGGAGGGCCACCAAAGACACAGTGTGGAAGAAAGCCTGAGATTAATAAGGTTGTATAAAGACACACAGAGAAAAATGTGAGTGAAGAAGAAACACCCAGTGCATTATGGGATGCCCACAGCAGCCTAGACCTATCCGGTCGTTAAGTCTGACGTCACTAGCCATGTCTGGGCCTAAACTCGCTGCAGGTCCATATATCAAACGATCACTATGGCATTACTGAGAGTTGAAAAACTGTCTAAAGACTTTCATCTGTAATAAAATGATCAGTGTTCTGCTCTACCAGGTGTAACAATTGAGTTTAACATCCAGGCATCCATGAAAATGGAATTTATGACATTTAACGGAGTTAGAAGTTAGCAGGAAGTTAGCTTGCTAGCTAACTAGCTAGCTAGCTAGCTTCTATCTTAATACAATATAGCATGTCCTGACTGCGGGGTTTTGAAAACAAATTAAAACGTACAGCTCTGTTATCACTTCCAACATAAATGAAGACAGAAAAATAAACAGCAGTGACGTTTGTAGGGTTACTGAAGTTTGGCTAGCTGGTATTTAATGATGTGCTACGTGACTGCTAGCGACACAGCTATGTTAGCATAATATAAACAAGCTAACTTTTTTTCCACTCGATAAAAGTTAACGTGAGTGTTCTCGGTGGTCAGGAACAAATGTAATTGCATGGCAGGATGCTGTAAAAGGACCAAACTTCAGCCAGGAGAACAACTGAGATAATCCATCCACAATACGAGGTTAGTCATTCATATACTGCTGCATGGGCTGGGCTGCAGCTACATCCTAAGGTTTTAAAAACTGAGCTTAAATAAATGATTAGCGGTAATAAAAACCGAGGGAGGTCAACAGTGATCAGTGACTGTTTTAGGAGATTTTTGAGATTAAATAGAAGAAAATACAAAACATTAAACATGTTAACAACACAAAAGCCATATTAAACGCAGACTACTTTAGGCCCGGAAGTAGGATTCGTCACGTCATCACTTAACGACCGGATAGTAGCATAACTAATGGAGAATTCAGCATCACCTGATCCAGCCCTAACTTTATGCTAGTTTTAGAAAAGGAGCAAAGAGTTAGAAGAGGAGATAAAATAGTAGAGGTGTATTACTGTTGTTTAGAAGCAGGTGTAAATAAATATATTTTGAAATAAACTGACACTTTTTCCTCACAAAATAACAGTTTTCTATTAATGCACGCTGGCTGTATCATTGTAAGGACTTTACATTACAATAAACACCTTGAGGTGACAGTTGTTGTGATTTGGTGCTATATAAAGAAAACAGAACTGAATTGACGGATCAGTTTAAAATGGATAACGGTTATCATCGCTCCATGTTTCACCAGTAGTCTGGTTAAACCAAGCTGTCAGGCAGCTGCTGCTGATTACATCAAAATGTGGCAAAAGTTTTGACCCCAATACATTAAAAGAATGAATTTTTACTATAATCAAAACCATCTGTTTCATTCTGGACTGTATCGTAAGGGTCTCCATGAAGCTGGACAAAAAAAAAAGAGTTCTTGAGTATTCAGAAATTAATCAATTTGGTTATAAAAAAAAGTTTATAAAGACCGTCTCACCCTGATTCCAAGCTCCACATTTTCTCCACCATAAATTTCCATGCCCTCATCAAGCAGGCCAATCTCTTCAAAGTATTTCCTGTCGACCACAAAGCAGCCAATCAGAGCAGGGCTCCTAGAATGAGAGGAAAGAGAAAAGGTCACAGAAAAATGAAGCTTGCTTTATATTAAAGTGAACACACTGTCATTAGGCCCTTTAAAAAAACATAATGCAAAGCCTTCTCCTCTACCCACAACAGCTATGTCCTAATCCACAATTAGCCTCATACTGGGGCTAATTGTGGGGATCAAGCCCCCTGCAGATCCATTTTTCAAGTACACTGCACATTCGCTGCTCTAAACATCCTTAGTCTTCCATGAAAACCCAAGCAGTACATTATACTCACAAATGATGCAGCTGTCAAAATGATGCCTTCACCTAACACAACTACTTCAGGACATTTTGTGGAAATTCAGGCGGGAAGAGTACACAAATCTTTCATCAACATCAAACTGAATCAACAGGGCTGAAAAATAACTCCTATTAGTATTCATGCTGTCAGTCGCACACATCTCTCCTTATCAATATGAAATACAGCAGCGCAGCAAAAACAGCTTGTTTGGGTGAATTTTGCACCCCAGTGGATACACACAGCGGCAAACAGCCACAACCACAGAGTTGTTTTAATTTTGCAGCCTATAGCGTACAGCGAATCCTGAGTTATGGCGTTCACATTAAATGTGCAGTGCAGAGGAAACACTTCCAGGTGTGCTGAAGCATTAAGAGTTCCTTTCACTGGAACTAAGAGCCGAGCCCCCGCACCGTAATCCCCCCTCCACCAAACTTTACACTTGTGCAGTCAGACAAGTACCGTTGTCCTGGCAACCGCCAGATCCAGACTCGTCCGTCGAACTGCCAGAGGAAGGAGCGCGATTGGTCACTCCAGAGACATGTCTGCACTGTTCTGTGTTTCGCTGCATTTTAGTATTTTAAAATGAATTTGTTATTTCTCAGCTTTAGTCCCGCGCACACACATGCAGCGACAAACGCCTCCTTTCTGAACTCCTGAGCTCTCACACTGTTTATTCGGCCTCGGTGCAAATTAAGATTTTGTACTTTAACGTAACGCAAAGGTGGATTTTCTGAAGCTCAGAGGAACAATGTGCGTCCGAACACTGCCTCTCACAGACCGTATCTCATCATCTTCTGATAACTAGGAAGAGCACAATACACATGTTTACTTAAGAAATAAGATACCGATTTAACAAAACTGCTCTGAAAGCCATTAAACGGTAACAATACTCTCAAGCGGTCCTCCCGAGCAAATCCAGCAGCAATCTGCACTTGAACAAAAGTGCTTAAGAAGATAGAGACATAAATAATTGGGCCCATTTATCTTCCTCCATTACAATATCGAGCAGGATACGTCCTCTTGTTTTTCTCCAAATCTATAAACACGGTATTATCGATTCACTTGCCATAAACCTGAACAACAGACATGTTATCCTCTTTGCACGTATTGGTGAGCAGGCAATTTTGCTGTCATTACTGGGCTGTTTGTCTGTACTGGTCTCCGGTGTGCGTCTAAGCAATCTTCCTCCGTTATATTGGCAACACTTTCCTGGCCACTGAAGATTGTTCTTTGTGGGTACGCGTGGTGACTGTGCGCGGTGTTCAGGACATCAAATAAGCAGACATAAAATGCACCTGCTCTCCTTCTTAAATGTTAAATGTTAAATGTTAAATGTAACGGCCCGCCGAGACCGTTTTTATGTCTTACTCTTAATTTGCTCTGCAGCTGTATTGCTTCCCGCGGGTTTTCTACGGGTTACAATACTGACACTACACTAAGCAGAATTTACATGCGTAATTATTCATGGGGATTAGTGTTGGAGAAATTATAATGTAAAAATAATGAGCTTAGTAAGTGATCTTATCAACCCTACTTCAATATGCTTCAAGTCAAATGATTAATAATTAATACATTCTTGGACTTCTTTCACATAAAGAGGTTCCTTTTAGTAAAATAAAACATCATTGAGCCTCAGAGCTCATCTCCCGTTTACCTGATAGGCGCCGTGTTGTTGCGCTGCGTCCACCAGGACTTTGGCGGGTTGAGGTATCTGCACCACAGCTCCCAGTCGAAGCCCTGAGCAGACAGAGGGTATTCCTCGATCTCGAAGGTGTCATACTTGATGTTGTCAAATGAAGGCGAGACCACCCGGGTCCGGTCCTCCTTTATTCGCTGCAGAATAGGCTCCGCCCTGCAGGATGATAAAGTACAGATAGGAATGTGTATGTGTATGTCTTCCCCACCCAATGCACACATCTCCTGTGTTATGCACGACCTCACTGAGTTCTGTAGCGCACAGGATGTGGCACTGGGCACTGCTCTCGTCATTCACTGCTACCGGGGGAAGTTTCTTCTGATCTGAGGTCATATTAGAAAGAGGGAGGACAGGCAGGGTGTTTGTGGCTCCTGAGAGGGGTGAGAGGCTCATGTGTATTGGCGTGCTTCCCGATGCAGTGAGGGGGCGACTGGTGGCACCAGCTAAACCACCAGCTGGAGCGATTGGCACACGCATAATGGGGTCAGTGTGCCCACCAGCAGACACATCCATTTGTGCAGATTTGACAGGGAAGCACTGCTGCCCGGCTCCCAGGGGGGCCCAAAAGTTGTCTGTGAATACCCCACAAAGCTGTGGTGGGTCTTGAGTTGACTGCACAAAGCACAAAGTGATGCTAAGAGAGGTGTGGAGTGACACAAAATGCTTGTCCGGCTGTATTTGTAAGACCTGCGACTGATTGGCGACCTTTCTTTGTCTTTTCTGATTGACTGCAGCTGTGCTGCTTTATCAACTACCCCCCCTGGAGGATTATGTGATAGTGTTACCTTGTTTTTTCTAATATTCCTGTGCAGCTTCCTGTTGAGCGAGGAGGAGTGAGCAAGCTTTCTAATAAGCTTTGATTCTTTTCCTCTAAAGAGACGTTTAGTGAAGAAATTACATTTTGTTCCAGTAGATATTTGTTTTGCTCATTATTTCACTTTGCTTTTAATTCTGTACGGGTGTTGATTCTTTTGGTGTGCACATACTCTGTAGCAGCCTTTTTATTAAATATATATATTTTTTTAAAAGACGGAAAGCTTTTGTTGAGCAATCATCTTAAAGCGGATACACGTGGTTCAGAACAAATTTGTGTGCTATTAATTTGGTCAGTTTTTTGTCATGTACAAATACAGTCATCTCAAAGACAGGATACAAATACAAATTACATACAAAAAAAACACGTTCTGATTAATTTACATGTTGAAAGGGAAGAAGTAAACACTTATTTAATCCCACCCCTTTGCCATAAATTATCAGTTAATATTTAGTCAGCTTCCTTACTGATATAATTTGTAATAAAAATAGTGAACAGATTTCTGATATACTATATATCACATCATGAGTTTTTTTGTTTGTTTGTTTTTTAAATAGAGACATTCACTTAATTTAAATATTTTCCTTTTCTTTATAGTTCGAGAAGATCATATTTTTATAACTCTTTTTGAACAGTTTTATGTTTGGACATTGCTTTAATTCCATATTCAGACTGTTCCATAGTTTCACTCCATGAACAGAAACACAAAAGCCTTTTCTTGTAGTACGTACCTTCATTGTTTTGAAGTTAAAAATAATAATAATAGGATAGGATAATAGGATAATAAACTTCAGGTAACTGATCTAACATCCACGACTGGACCCTAAAAATTCTGACTGCTCTAAATGTCCCTAAAGGATGGAATAACAAACAGCACAAGACACAAAATGTTCACCTTGAATCATGTTTGCCTTTTTGCTTTGTTTTGATTAAATAAATATAAAAGACAGTTTTTGTGGTCCTTTTTGTCTCTATTGAGCCTAAATCTCATTGGTGTATTTTCACAGTTTATGTTCCTGATTCTGCTCCGATTGGGCGGAGCAATCAAGTAATTTTATCCAGCTTTTATTTAGCTCTGTTTCAGCAGTGTCACTATCTCCAAGTACCAAAATGCAAATGAAGAAGTCAAAAGAAAACAGAAAAGTCAAAAGGTCCCAGACACTAGCAGAGGAAACAGCCTAAATTATTCCTCTTCTATCTCATATTTGTCATGAATATTACTGATGCTGCCTGCTGTCAGCTGAAGATTCTTTGCCCTTAAGAACTTTATAACCCGGCTGCGTGTTCGAGTTTGTTTGTTTTGAAATTTGCATTTTAACAGTAGAGAAATAAAAAATTCTTTAAACTGAATTTGAAGCCTAAAAAAATCAAACATGTATTAAATATCACACGAATGAGTCTGTCCGGGAAAAAAGAATGTGATAAAACAATCTGGGGAATTGTCAGTTCAAGCTGGGAAATGAGACGGCAGTCTTGACTGGATCAGGAAGGTCATCCCGCTGGAGAGCAGCGAGCACAGAGCTGAATCAAGGACTGAAGGAGTGCAGCTGAAGGCTCATCAGAGCAGAATCAGTGGAAGCAGTAAGGTGGTGTCTGGAATATGAAGTCCTTGAGAGCTCCGATTCCATCCTACTTAGCCTTGTAAGCCATTCCAGATCTGAGAATTGAATCGGAGAGTGAGTACAGGAAGTGGCTGGAAAATTCAGCGTTGGGGGGCTGAAGAGAGTCCAAAGAGTCCAAGCAGAGCCAGGACTACAAATGAAGTCCTTGATCAAGTAATATGGAATTCAGCGGATGTTGACCACAAGGCTTCGGGGCTGTGGTGGGATGATAACTTTGGCAAGTGGGACAGCTCTTAAGATTCATGGGGGGATGTTGGCAGCCTGGGCAGTGATCACACACAGAGGGAAAGAGCACTGCTGTTGAAAAGCTGAGCAGATCACAAGATGTCCTGCTGCAGATAACGTCCGTCCCCAAGCAGAGATGCTGTTTGTCTATTTTTAACTCTTCGGCATTCAAACCTCGAACATTTTGAGACATTTCTTTGTTAATTATGTGGTTCTTCCAGGAAACAGAGTAGGTTTGTGATATAAAAAAGAAAGGTTGAAAGATTGCAAAGCAGATATTTTAAAATGTTCCTGTTTTAAAATACAGTCGAAAGACGATTTTTATTTATATTTAGTGAAACAGGGTTTAAATCAAAGTGGGTTGCAAAGCAGCTTGCAGACAAACATAGTCCTTCTCTCAAAAGCAGGGCATCATTTTTTTTTTTTAGCAGATATCTGTACTTGTTGTGTCTTTTCAGCAATTAAGGTGGACCTTTAGGGTTCCAACGTTCTCTTGTTTTTAAACCTGGGACACTTTTTAAGGAGTCATGTTCGACTGTATGAGCAGAACTGCAGCTTAAAGGTGTGAGCTGTGTCAGTTTAAAACACCCTGACTAACTGAATGGTCCATCTTCAAACTCATTCAGGGCAGACAGGCAGGAAGAATCCAGCACTGACATTTCTGATGAAGTGTGTGAAAAATGTTTGGAAAACAGTGTCTCTTAAAATGCTAGGCATATTCCGAGTCGTCCACTGATTGCACTTCTCTGCCACTAGATTACATAAAATATTCAAAGGGATTTCACCTCTGTGGATAAAATGTTCGACGAAGGCAGAAACTCTTTTAGTTTAATAGATTACAGACTTCCTGAGGTTAAAGTGAAGGATTAATATGAAGCTCAGGTTGTCTCCCTATACACAATGAAGAAGTCTGCTACACTCCAGGAACATGGGGCAGCCCAAACGTTTGTCACAAGGCTCAAGGATTTAGGAAATATACCACAATCAGAAAAAAAGCAGATGCAATGGTAAACGGTAAATGGCCTGTATTTATATAGCGCTTTACTAGTCCCTAAGGACCCCAAAGCACTTTATACATCCATTCACGCACACACTCACACACACTGGTGACGGCAGCTACATTGTAGCCACAGCCGCCCTGGGGCGCACTGACAGAATGAGTCAAGCCATTTACCCGACAATGACAACAAAGTTAAAACGATTGGTTAATGGTCTAATCGAGCAACAGTATTCTAAGGTAATACCTTTCAAATATGATGTAATACAGTAATTTCTCCTTAATGTCAGAAAACACCAGCGTTCTTAAATGTTAGATTTTCTTTTAATTTACAGTAGCTTGCAAAAGTATTGGGCCCCCTTGAACTTTCCCATATTTTGTCACATTACAGCCACAAACATGAATCACTTTTATTGATTTGCAGTTATTTATTTGTAAAAAATGTTTGGAATCATGCAAGATTTTCGTTCCACTTCTCACGTGTTCACCACTTTGTGTTTGTCTTTCATGTGGAATTCCAATAAAATTGATTCATGTTTGTGGCTGTAATGTGACAAAATATGGGAAAGTTCAAGGGGGCCCAATACTTTTGCAAGTCACTGTATATATTTTTGTATATCTCTACCTTTCTTTCCAAAAATCTAGAAAACAGATGTTTGAAAAAAAGTTTTTAATAGTCTTATTGAAAGTTCTTAAAGAAGCAGGTACAGTTTTTATTTTAAGCATTATCAATATTAGCTTTAATTTCACGATCAATGTGTCACCAGCAAAATCCGAGAAGAACAGTTTTCTGACTCAAAATGAGATCTGCCACCAATCTTTGCAAAATTGCCGTATCTCTGTCTTATCTAACAAAGCTGGGCACACTTAATGCTAATGAGGCAGAACCTTACTGATCCTTTTGTGTGTTGCAAACATTACTGAAAAATAATATTATTGATCTGAAGAAGACAAAGGCTGAGTGGAATGAGAAAAATCAGAGCCTTGCCTCTTCAATTTGTGGACTGCTAGAGGCTGTCATCTAAATGCAAACTACCACTGGCAGTTCCAAGAGGGAGAAAACATAAACCTGGCACTGTGGCTCACAGTCATGCATGTTTGATCAGTTCAGGCCCACAGATGTATACGATAATAACATCAGAAATTCCCAGCATTAGAGAGGAGGGGGGGCTCTTTCATCCTGCACTCTGATTGTTCTTGGGTGGTAAACCTCGCCTGTGGCTGAGTTTTTTTTCATCCACTCGCACTTATAAACATATAAACACAGCGAGCCCACACAGATAAGCCTGGAATCTTGATATAGAGGGAAATCTGGGATCCACCTAATTAGTGAGACCTTCACATCAAAGAAAGGTAAAGGCTGGAGTGTTCACACGGGGAAGCGCCACGTCAGCTGAGAGAAAATTATTCTCTCACAGCTGAATATTAAAGCATGTAAGGTGCTTTGGAACTCATTCATTTAGCTGCAGATCTCCAGATAGATTAGCCCCAGCCTCTG